TATACTAAAATACATCAAGGTCTAAAATTGATTAGTGTATGGGTTTTGAAGTCAGAGAGCTCTGACTTCAATTCCACATGCTGTCATTTAGGTGCATGACTTTGATCAAACTACTTTTCTGTGCCCTTGTTTCCTCATTTATAAAATACAGATAATAACTCATCCTTGAGTTGTTATGAGGTTTATTAGATAATACAATAAAGCTCTCTGCTTAGTGTTATCTGTTTTTATTATCATGATCATAAACTGCAAACTCAGTTCTATGACCTTTGTTTTTCATATTACTGATTTTGTGAATTCACATCGTCTTTATTTACTATGAAGACTGGGATGATACATTGACATCTCACCCCTATGAAGTACACTGTAGTTTTTAAACAATTTTTATACACATGAGCTCATTTGGTCACTCCCTGCACTTTAAATGTCTTGGCCCATCCCCAGGGTACCAGCTCACTGTTGTGCCTTAAGGGAAAGGCCACAGAGTGTGGATTTCTGTAGCTCAGATGAATGTGAAGAACACGCTCCACTGCTCCTGAGAAGACTTTCCCAACAGGGAGCTTGAGCCTCTCAGCCAGCCACCTCTCCCTTCCTCACCCACCCCACCCCTGCTCCACCAAATTGCCCCAGCATCCCACCCACTGAGGCTGGGTAGGCTGGGCTGCTTGACTGCACCATTCCAATGCTCTTACCAGTTTCTCTAGCGTGTTGACAATTGCCAAAGTGGCACTTTCCCTTTCACAAAAGTCCTTGCTTCTGTTCCAGGACAATTCAGAAGTGGATAAGAAAAAACATCTTCCTTGATAAAAGTCCCACTGTTTTGGGCAGACTGAAGAGAGCCAAGAAAAGAGAGTATGAGATTAGTGGTTTGGGGTGTGAACCCTGGAAATGAGTCACAAAATAGTGGAACATGGATTTCTTTATAAGGATTATATTGTCACAAATCATCCTCAATCTGGGAAGGAATTCCATCCAGTCTAGTGTGTTTCCCTGTGGATAATATGAAGGGAATGAACTGGAAGGTCTTTATGGCCCCTTTGAGCAAAAAAGTTCATAAGAAAGGAGGCAATGGGAAGGAAAAGTCTCTAGGAATTCAGCACCTAAGAACCCAGGGGATGGAAAGGAGGTTATAACCATACCTGTTCCATAGCTGCTTGTGGGAATGAAGCTGTTGGGATCTGGGGAAAGGCTCCCAAAAATCTGTGAGACTGAAATGAAAAGGAAGGTCACCACACAAAGAATACAATACAAAAGCATCAAAGTTTCGGCTGTGACTATTTGTCTCTGAATTGTGGAGATGACAGGGGACTCTTGGTCACTCTGAGTTAGAAATTTTTGGATATTTTCTTTCTTTGAACCATCCATCAAACTACTACCATTATTTGTCATGCTCAATACCTAAAATCCTATTTCATGTCTTCCTTTTTTGATGTGGCAATAGGTGTGAAATGCTGAGAAAAAGAACAGGAGAAAGGAAAGTAGTGGAGGAATTTAGTATCAGAGGGGAAGTCTCTCACTCCTTTCTTATATATACCTTTGACGGTGTTATCCCAGAAGAGCTGTTGGGAGCACTTCCACCCCAGGCTCCACATATCATCTTTGCTTTTTCCCTTGTATCTGGTGCCCCAAAGCCTATATGAAAACCCATAATCCTGAGAAGCTGTTGGACTCTTCTCTCATCAGCACTGTATCAGCTCTAAGGGTCGAGGCTAATTGGAACAAGTTTCGAGACCAAGGGGGCATTGGCAGATGAGGGAGCAGGTGAACGTTCCAGAGATTTCCTATAAACACAGATGGATCCATTCATTTCTTTAATTACAAATAGGGACTTCATTTTCCTGGGAACACTGGCTGTCTAAGCAGACAGCTGCAGTGGCTTCAGAGGCTCGTCAAACCTCTTTTCTGCGGTCCCAGTTATTTGTCCGTTGTGGTTGAAGATCACTCTATTTAACCCTGACACCAAATTAGTTACTTACAATTCTATTAATAAAATGAGCAAGTTAGCATTCACTTTTTCAGTTGCCAGTTCATAGACTATTAATGGGAAATATTGAACTCTCTGACACAGTCAGTGGAGATGCATGTATGTTTTTTTGTGAATATGTTCATTTACTCATATTCATATTT